GGAAAAATTGAAATCGCATCATATGACCCCTTTAATAAAACATTTTCAAGCTGCCAGGCATAATTAAATATATTGCTATCCATTTAAAATGAAGAGACAATTTTATTTGTATTTTTTAAGATAACATTTATTATAACATTTTTGTAAGACAATTATTTACTGTTGTGGTATGAATAATAAAACAAACACTTAGCACTATAATACACCATTTTTTTGACAGCTGTGTGTTGATGTAACTTGTTTCATCAAACCTTAACTTTCAGTGAAGATTCAAGTTGGACTTTCCAATAAAAACCACATCATGAGATTCATTTCAGTTAGATCGCTAATCATGCACATAGGCCATTGGTGCTTGGACCCTGAAACTATCACATAACTTAAAATGTAAAATTGAACAGCTTGATTCAGACCTATAGTCTCATCACCACAATACACAACACCACAAACTTAAATACTTTGAGGCAATGGATATACATTCTCTGAGTGTACAATATTGACCCTGTGTTGTGTAGCTCCTTTAAATATTCCATAGCATAAACCCTGTATAAAGCATGAAACAATAATAATAATAAAAAAATACAATACAAGTTTTTATTAGTCTACTTATCTGGGTAAAACACTATTTAGAGTCTTGGTTAAATTTCCCAGAAAAATGTAAATATATGATGCTGTAATGTTTGAACATCCTGACTGGTTCAACAAAAGAAAAAATCAAGCAGCCTATGGCATAATTTCATTTAGTGCCACTAGAGGAGCTCAAATTAAACAGAAAAGTTGATCTCTTGAGAGGAAAGTCTTTGCTGCATGAATCTGCAAAATTCAATATTCAAAATGTCAATGGAATATTGTGCAGTACTAATGTTTCTGCTTCATGTCCAACCCTTGTGAACCAAAATCTTGTTTATCTTTTGGAGCTGATTGATTGTTTCATTTTCAAATTTTCCGGCATGAACGCCGCTTTCATAAGAAGTCAATGTTTTTTCAAAATAATGATGCCAGATTCCACCACTGGTAGCTCCAAACCCAAATACATTCACCTGTAAGAGAAAGAGTTATGTATGGATGAATACTTTCTGTGACACTGTAAAAAAAAAAGCTGTATTATTCAAGAAAGAAAAAAAATCTGAGAAAAAAATCATCCCACAAGTAATATTAAATTAAGTTTCTTTTTTGTATTTGAACTGAGCAATAATTTGTAAGCCCATTTCAACATCTGAGTAGAATAAGCAATTTTAATTTAATTAAATTTTACTAACTTGATTTTTCATACCTTTAATTTTACATATCACAACGCAACTTTAATTCCCACAGTTATTTGTTATCACTAGGGCTAAACAATAAATCGTACTTTAATCGTGATCAAGATTTCTACTTCTCTCGATGTATTAAGCATGATCGTCTATGATATTTGCCTGCTGTTTATTTATCCTGTAAACTTTACATTTTAATTTGACATCACTCTCATGCAGAGTATGTTTCATTAATACTCAAAGTAGGGGGACGCTCTCGCACAGAAAGTTCAAAACAGACTCATAAAAGTAATAACTTGTACCAGGAAATCCCTAACATGGACAAAGGCATCCAGCTATCGCTGTAGCTAAGCTGAATGAAAAGCAGAAACGTTTTGACTGATGAAACATGAAGACAGTAAACACGACTGCAACAATATATGGTTTCTGTGTGTTTTTAAAGTCAAGTAATAAAGTATATGAATAATGCA